ATCACATTGGTCTATGTTTTTTTTTGGACCCATATCACGAAACGCAAACTCTTATTTGGAGAGAAAATCTTACCTTCCAATATGCGTGTATTATTACTAAAAGGAGCGAATAACTGCATTTGGCGAAGTGATGTAGGGTATGTGTAGGTATATGTCGGCGCTGCCCAACTATAATATTCTTACTTGTTTTTATAATAAACGCTTTTTCAAACACAAAAATATGCTGAGCCTAATTTTTGTTTCATTTTCTCTACGATATGATTGCTTTTGATTAGTTGATGTGCCAGTTAGAAGAAATCTTTCAGTTGAAGTTAAGTATTAATTAGAGCAAGGGTGGGCGAGCTTTTCCCTCTCCGGAATACACAGAGTTTGAGTTTTCATACCACAGCAGGGACCAGAACCATGATCCAACTATTATTAAAAATACGGCATTCTGTCTTAATTCTCCTGCTTATTAAATCGCTCTTTTTATAGCGTAATGGACAAAGAAAGAGCACTTACATAACACATTGCACTTCACTTTCACATGCACCGCTGAGCCAGTAGTGAAGCTAGATAGAATTCGTTTGTAGCATTGCTGTGTGCGTGTAAATTGAATTATTTGGCATTTTCCTTGCGTCGACTGTGGCTCATCCCTGACCTAGAGCATAACTGGCAGTCGTGCAATACGTTCCCTCTTAACTGGAGGATTTTAATTCTTATTTACAATAGCCCTATGTTGCAATAAGTGCCATATGTCAAACGCAAGCCATTCATAACTTTCTTGTTGATATTATTTGTATAGTTGAACGAATAACTTTCGTAGAATGAAAATCTTATCAATTTCCTAAACAACGGTAAAGACTCAATACCATTAATGGACTTTTAGTAAAAATATGTCATATACGCAATACTACGAATATAATTCCTTTGTAGGAATTTAAACTCTTTGACAAGTTCATCTACCAAATTGCAGAAGAGACGAAAGCAACAAATTAAATAGGGAGTGCGCTAAAAATAACAATTATGAAAAGTGAAATATCACTATAGTCATACCGGATGGTTGAGTTAACCCGCAGTCTAGCTAGCAGGGTCGGCCGGAATAAAGGTTCACATTAGACAAAGACTTTCTTTCTGATTAAACGACATCAATTGAACCAGACTTTACATATGTACAGTTAGAGCAATCTAAAAATATAAAATAAGAAAAAACACATCCATATAGCTATTTATTTCACTACTTTTCAAAATAGGTTGTCATGAAGAAATAGTCACATCCGGATCATTTTCAATAGCCTTTCGCCTAAGCCCAAAGCACATCAGTGCAACAAGTTACCACAAAATAAGACCAGTTTTTACCATAAAATTTTAAAAATGACACCTTTTTGGCATACAGAGGCTTATTTTCCCTTACATGGGTTGGAAACCAAGAAATAGACCTACTTGGTCCAAATACGGTAAGGATAATTTGTATATCACATCATTAATATAAACGAATTCTCATCAAGAAATATTGAAAATTATACCCTTTTACCATATAAAGGTTCAGCTTCGATAGGAACGGCTCATAGGAATGGCAACAAACTCAAAAAATTGCCACATTGCGACATCGAGATGTCGAATGGTCGATTCGAACTATTTTCAATAAGATTCGTTCTTAAGTCGAAACAATTCAGTGTATCGGATTTCATCAAAGCTTCTCGAAAATTACAACCTTTCAGTTGAAAACATATACAAGGACAGATGCCAGACAAGCAGATAAGCTTAGAAACGATTCAGAAAGTGCGTCTGAAGTGATGCTGAATCGATTACCATAATAAAGGATAGTCTGCCTTAAGGCCTTCTTAGTATTACGTACCTCTCTCTGCGCAAACCTAATATACTCGTTTGCCATAAGTGGTGTAGGGTATTTAAAATTTAAAATGTTCGTTCAAAGTGACTCAAATATGTGATGCCGGACTGTGGTATCACATATACGCTGTATCACATATACGTGACAGTTGATAACATGGGCGTTAATAACAAACAAAATTAAAGTTAAAAAAGTACATGAGATAAAGGACGAGTGCAAAAGTTTTTTATTTGCAAGAAAACATAGTCCGAATTCAACAAAGTACAATTAACCTTTAAGGAACCCGCTACCGTCTAAGCAACATAACTTGCATTTTTATTTACTCGAGTTCAATGCCGTACACATAAAGCAGCATAAATCATTTTGTTATTGTTATCATTTTTATGATTGTGCTCCTTAAAGTAACACATGTTGTGATAAGTTTAAAACTTGTTGTTGTTATCCTATTATCCTGAATACGCTTCACTTCTTTCACTTAAAAACAAAAACATATATATATACATATATATATTCCTTTTTGCAATTGCTATCAAAATATTTGTGAAGAAAGTTTCCCTTTGCATGATGAGTACGTAAACTTGCAATATATTCGATTAAAATTGACAAAAAGTAAGCGCTTATTTAAATCTAGTCTATTGTCTAAATAAAAAATTTATTTTACTATTTTGTAATACTAGCGAATACATATTAAAATATGAAATGAAAAAAGAAAAGAAGCAAAACATTATTCCAGTAGACAAGAAAATTAAATAACTTTAACAAATCAAAAAACATAGCGTCATTAATATTGGGTTTTTTGATACGGCGGTGTATCCTTTTTGGTTAATAACGGCATTTAAATGTTTCGACACAGTGTGTATAATTTTTCTTGTGTAGGAAACAGGGATCTTACTCCATTCTTCTTGTCGTCTATTTTTCAGATCTTGAACGGAAAAGATTGAGTGTTTTCGCACACGCCGGCCTAATTCATCCCACACATTTTTGATGCCTGATTATTGGGGGAAGGAGGTGAAACACTTTGGGGCAGTTACATAAGAGCCATTCTTAAATTAAGCGGAACTTATGCCTGAGATCGTCAATTTCTTTCAAATTTTTCTTGAATATTCTTAATTAACGCTCCTAGTTTAGAATGCCATCCATAAACACCAATATTCTCCAATGTTTCCAATTGCCTCTAATTCATGTCCATATATATATATATATAACATGAGCTTTGCCGAGCTTGCCATAAGCTGATGGTACAAGAATGTAATAGGAAGTAATAGAAAGACCAGAAATTGCCAGGGATAACGCCTAATTCTTAGTGGAACGACTGCTGATGAAAGCAAATATAAAAAAAAAAAAATTAACTCAGAAATGTAAGAAATTAATAAATATAATAAGACATTGTCAATTTCTTAAATTGAAAAGATTTTCTGCGTTCAGACATATTCCATTATAATATCTATAATGCATATATTTATGATAAAAAAAGAAAATAAATAAATATAATGAAAAGAAAAGCAACAACGAGGAGGAAGTGATAGTAAACATTATCATAGGACAGTAGGACGAAATACAGACTTTATCAGACAAAAACACATCAAAAAATGAAATATATTTAGTTTTTTGCCTTTCTTTTGCCTCTTTTTTGTCGCGTGAAAGTCTTAGTCTTGCTTTTTTTCATGATAAACTTTATATCAACTAACACTCGCAATATATGCTATATGTATTAAAAATAATAATAATATATAAGGGCTTGAAAACGATTAAATATAGTTAACGATTTGTTATGTAAGTAAAACTCATGTGCTTCATACGTGCTTCCAAATTATTGGAAATTTTATCATCAAATCTTAAAGCTCTACTACGATACTCTTTTGATACATATACGTAACGTATGCGCGGAATTTATGCTCAGAAAAGTTGTTCACTAATATTAAAGTCATGTGTCACTTTACAGCTGAATTAGTCTCGATTCGTAGGTTCTTCAATTCAAATTGATTTTCGGAATCATTAAAGGACTGCTTTTCTCATTTTGTTCGTACTCAAGGTAGCTATCGTATTTCTATCGTGGTTTTCAAAACAAACTCTTCTCTACAAACTTAACTTAACTACTTCTTAAAAGTCGGGAATACACAAACATGCAAAAATAAAAACTTTTATCGCTAGTCAAGCGTGACTGAAAGTCCGAAGCCTACTCGTTTGAGAAAAGGAAAGAAAAAATGGTAAATAAACCTGCCATTAGAAGTTAAGATGTGACTAGTTTTGTGGAATTTATTTTTTTTATTTATTTATTTTTTTTTTTCCCCAAATATTTGGGTACATAAATATGCTATTTTTTAATCGAACACATTTAATTTTTGCAATTCCTTTAAAAAATCTCTAAAATGTGGCAAGTATTCTGATCCTTTTTTCTATATATGAACAGTTGATTGATTTTAAATGTAATCTAAATTATCCTTAAATAGATCAGGGGTGGTTATGAATGGCACTCTGGCTACCTCATAAAAAGTTTCGCTTATATATTTCTCGCGTACATTATTCAAGTTGGATTTCGGTTTGCGAAGTAAAATTCCATTTATTACTGTTATAATTTCCACGAAATCCGTCAGTTTATAGCCAGAATAATATTTTAAAGTAATATTCCACCCTTGATCAACACCAAACATGCGTAAAGCAATAAATAAAGCGGCTGCAGCCATTTTGGAATCACTAAAAGTAACGGTATCATAATACGTCAACGATATTTCAAGTATGTAACGAGCTAATGTAAGAGTAGTTGCTGCCACGCGTCCACAATAAGAGTAACGTCGCAAAAATTCATAAGCCAACGGTATGCCGAGATCAAAGTCAATCGCTCGCAAAATTGAAATCTCCATGCGTATGAAATCGTCATACTTGTAATTGTCACCGCAAACATATACCAATTCTCCAATCAATGGAATCGTACGATTATCAAATTTGCAAGCTATAAATAGAGCGGTAGCTCCCAATAATTGTAACTTATCCTTATTAATAACAACTTTGCACAAAAACAAGTCGACTATCTTTACCGCTAAATGGAGAGATCCATCATTAAATGCCATTGTTTCTTGCGCACCTACCATCCAGTCCACAAGAATGGCACGCATATTTTTGGATAAATTAACTTGACGTTTCATATAGTCATCTATTGGAAATGCAGTTTCTCGCTCTTTCAAATATTTAAATATATCCATGGCATATTGTGAGACATGAAGTGGATCATTCCAGTTGGTCCTGTCAAAGTCTTCGTCATTGTTTTGCATTGTTTGGCAAATTAGTTTATTTTCAGTCACCTTTTTAGATGGCGGAACGTTTTCGACAGACGATGCGACGATTAGCTGCTTAATGCTTTGCGATGTGCCCGCTACATTTTCTACTTCTTTTGAGGTTATGTTCTTGTTATTGTCGCTATTTTCTAGTTTTCTGCAATTAGTTTCCATTACGATTTTCCCTTTTTCATATTTTTGCATAACACAACATTCCTGTTGCGTTTGCTCACCGCTTTGCTGAACATCGTTGCGTTTATCGCCCTTTTTCGTAGGTTCTCCTCGTTGCTTTACGGCATCATCCGGATGAATAGTAATTTTATTATTGTGATTGAAATTGACATTTGCTAGCTTGCTGAACGCTGAACGCTTCGGCTCCACATTTCTGGCATCGTTGTTTTCAGCCTTGCGTTTAACATTAGTTTCCAGAATTTTCAGATTTTCATTTCGAACAGTTTGCCCAATAACGTTAACGAGGTTTTCACAAACCGAAGGCATGGATACGTTCTCCCGGGCCATAAAGGTATTATTTGCCGGCAGCATTTTCAACGTGGATAACTTTTATTTATTAAATTTTGTTGCGAACAATCTTTCCAGAAATTTCTCGAAGACTTTTTTTTAGCGTACACTCTGTAAGCAACCTTGTCACTGTCTTGCCTCTGGCTGTTTTTATATAAGATTCGTGCTTTATCCTTCGGCTGCGGCAAATCCTTTGGTTTATAATTATTTATTCGCAAAAAATCGTTTAATTTTCTTAATCGCTGCAATTTATTCATCTACTATAAATGTCTTCAAAGATTTTAAAGAAATAATAAAAATTTACCAATTTGAATAGAACTTCCTTTTCTATTGTCTGATCCAAAAGTGTTTTTCTCGTTTCTAATATCAGACTGCTTTGCCTGAAAGAGACTGATATATACACGCAACTATGGTTATCTGAGGGGAAAAGCTTCAATGCTTGAACAGCTTGAATATGGAAGAGGGGAAAATGTGTTCGATTCGAAACTGATGACTAAATTTAAGAGCATAACAGAAAGAAAACATTGTTGGACATTGGATATATTAATTGTGAGTATACATTTTATACAATAGTTAATAATATTTTTAGAAATATTATTATTAATATTATCTCATTTTTAAGATTTTAAATATAATTTTTAGATTAAATTTTTTGAAACTAATCCCACTGTGCTTTGTTAACACACACGTATACTGAGGAGAATAAATCTTTATCTTGCACATGTATGGGTGAGTTATTATATTATAAATGTCTGAGAGGTTCATGGCAGAATATAATTTAAAGAGCTTTGCGTGAGATGTAAAAAAAAAACGAAACAGGGTTACCAACATATCAACATTCGGACAAGCAACCATTAAAACAGCAAAATATGAATGCATAGACAATATCTTATCATCTATTTAAATGATAACCACTTGCAATATATTTTCTTGACCCTGGATGTAACCGGTTGCCATATATTGATTTGTTGCAAAAAAAACTTTCAAGTGCAATAATCATAAAACTTAGCAACCCTATAACATACAATTTAGACACCACACAACAACCTTCAATAAAAATCTAGTTTAGTCAGTCACTCAGTCGATTATCAAGAACGTTGGAGGCCCGTCTGGCTATGAATGAAATAAATATATACAGAAAAGAAGCGATTGTGTGTTTAACTTAATTTCTTTTCTGTTGTTTCTCTTTCCGTCTCTTTCTCTCTCAGTTCTTGAGCAGTTTTTATCAAAAAAAAAAAAAATGGAAAAGAAATTGAAAGCAAGAAAATTGATAAAATATATATTTCAACTTTTCAAAATGTTTGCATCCCATGACCTTCGGATATTTATTAAATTTCCTAAAATAACTTATTTTTAATATGTGATTGGCTGACGAGTATATGCGTTAAATTTATTTGAATGTGTATCACACGTTCATTTAATTTATTATTTATTTTCATTCATTTTTGTTTATTCCACAAATATATTGTACTATTATTTTTCCATAATTTTTAGTTTGCTATTTCATCTAAATTTCTTGCTCTACTTGAAAGGTCTGTACGCAACTACTCGAATAGAAAAGAGAACAATTTTTGTTTTTCTTTTTTTTAATGTATGTATGATGCTGAGATAATATATCGTTATATTAGTAACGATGGCGTAGTAGCGAATTGACATAATATGTTTCATTTTTGCAACCTAATCTCTCTGCTCTTACTTTGAACGAGGAAAACATTGAAAATAAAATATATATCATCTTTGCTGTAAATACATACATTTTTTTAAATTAATCATCGCGTTAACGAAATTTTTATTACAAACTTGTGAAAGCACAAAACCAAACAAATTATTTTCAAATGTGGTGAACACAAACATTTATATAGATGCTTATGCTTCTTAATATGGTCATGCATTTTCTGTTGCCAAGACAAATTGTAATAACAGCGAGAATTGCTTGCGAAAAAAATAAGTGCCGTCCACGTATAAATGATAATCATGCACTTTGTGTGATGTCAGGCCTTTACGTTTTTTCTCCTCTTTATTGTCTATTTCATGTTACTATTCACGTGCATAAAAAAAAAGTAAACACGACATCTTTCTCTTTTATTCTCTTTAAATTCACTATTGATTCGCATTTGCGTTAACTCGGTTTCTATTATTTTACTCGGTCGTAGAAGAGGCATTTTTCATTGTTTGATTTGTAATATCGAGGAATACGCATTAGATATTCTGCGAGGGGTACGATTATTGAGCAGCAAAAAATTCTCAGTCGATTTACAAAACTTTGTCTCTTTGTTCGTAAGTTTATATGGCTTATGAATATGTTTTTTTTTTTTTTTTTTTTTTTTTTTTTTTTTTTTTTTTTTTTTTTTGCAGAAGTTAAGAAAAATAGATGAACGAAAGTTGAATAGTAACTGAAAATAATTACGAAAAACACGCAAAATTTATTAATTACTTTTATCACCAAGGACTTATATATATATATACGTATATGACTATACAATAGTCCAATAAAATTTAATCAGTGAAAATTAAGGTTTCTCTCATTAAAGACTGCATTTATGGGTTGAGGGTCAAAAAAAAAAAATATATAGTTCTTAATTCATAAATGCGTAACGAGGTATATTATTTCTAAAGGTATGATTAAAACCTCGTATCTTCTTACCTATCAATATCATTTTATTTTTAATTTTCTTTACTTAAATTAATTTTAAAATTGAATGAGGCTTGTACATAGACAATTAGCAACAATATGCATTTGAAGCTTAAAAAAGATAACTATTCAACATCTTTTTTTTTTTGGTAAAGTTATAAATAAAAAATATTCTTCAAACACA